CCTCATCTGAATTGACGATTTTTTGTCGTAGTAAATTATTCAAATGGGGTAAATTTTAGAAAAATTTGAAGAGGAGCGAAGCAATAAACAGGAAGCTTTGCTTCCTGCCAATGCCATTATTACACCATACCACCTGTAAATAGCTAGAATAATAGTACTAATAATAATGTTATATCATAAATTTTATGATAAATTATCAATAAACACTTCACTATAGGTTTGCCCATCGCCCCAAAAGAAAGATCCATATTGGAGGATTGTTGTTTCATGAATGCATCATGAAAATTAAAATATGCATTTTCTATGGTGAAAACATTCATTGTATTGAGCAGTTTGTAATATTGTTATATTTATTAAGTCAGGAGCCTATGGTGGCGGTAGAGACAATCATGAAGTGCCTCCCGGGGTTGAATGATTTGATGGGGCAGCGATTAAATTACTTTGAGTTACATTACAATCTTAAATAAAATTAAAAGTATGAAGATGTAACCGGTTTAATACAGTTGGTAATCGTACTGAAGTGAACAAAGTGCTTCATAACAAACGAATGCATGTGCGTCAGAAACTCGACGAATTCGGCCTCTATAGAAAACATTTTTGAAAGGTCTCGTATATGCGATCCAATCGATGATATTCTCATAATACGTCTTATGTTGAAATATGCCTTAATGCTTAGGATTTAAATATTTAGGTGGTACTTTTCACATACTAGATCTTAGGCAGCCTATTTTCCTCAACAGCAAGTTTAAAGTTGAATCCATGTACTTTGAGACAATATTGAGCCCGAGACATCAATTGAGTCCGAGACATCAATTTTGATAAATATTAAATATGTCAATTGCGGCAACCCTGTTACCACCGTCAGACTAATCATTTCGAGATTCAGAATGAAGAACCATCAGCCCGGCCGCAGCGTTAAACAGTGCGACTGGGCCGTAGGCTGATCAGTTGCTGATGACGAATAGTGACGACTAAAGCCCTTACAAGCACTCGCCTTCGATTTTTATTCCCAATTTTCTTCTTAAACATTTTCAAGCACATCACAAAGAAGAGATAGGGAATTCGATGGAGTGACCGGCGGGAGGGTGTCATGGAATGGCTACGATGCTACCCTCGGTGCTACCGTTTTCGGGCGTCTAGACCTAGCTAGGCCTACGGGACAAGTCTGACACGGCGAGAATGACAACACGGCGAACATCCGATTGACGTGTGAGGTGGGTGGCAGGTGGTTGTCGCGCACTACTTCGTGACCCTTAGCGTTCAATAGAGTACTAGATTCTCCAGTGATTAAGTGTTGATGTGGAGTCGATCGGAGGGGTGATTACCGTGATTTATGTTGAATAGGTGATTGATTCATGTTATTTCATCACTCCGCACTAGTGAATTGCAAATTTTTACAGCTATAAGCGCTGAACCTCTGAATGATATTCTGACACGATCGACAGGTTTAGGAGATATGATCGTTGAACACGTAGTAGCAAATAATGAGTAGATCTTATCCAAACGCTGCATATGAAATGCCTTGAGTTACTATAGTAAGAAAGGTAGTGGTTATTTTCCGCCGCATTCTATGGATCTTTTATTCGCCACTTGTTTTGCACCTCAGCGATTTCAGCATTTAAGTGTGACCCGCCCAATTAGAAGAGAAGAAATTACCTTGCTGGCATTAGTATACAGATTGCTGGATTGCTGGCATTAGTATACGTCCTCTCCCTCTGTAATTTTGGAAGAAAATACTGCGCATATTCGTTAAAAAAATCGTGCTTCGTAGATACACGTTTAAGATAAATTACCTCTCCTACAATTTTGTCACAACAACATTGGTATCAGCTATCGCGAACAAACGCGCTAAGCATGAAATTCAAATTACTGACATATTTTGCTGATGAGTAGTGAACGGGATGGTAATTTGGTAAACATCAATATAGCTGAAAAATCAATTTGCGATCATTAATAAGCTACGTGTAGTTTTTAATGGTGATGTTTTCGGGTGCTGATGAGAATAAATTGAATTCATATTAAAATACCATAATTTGTGGATCAGCAGCTGGGTTCAAACCAGTCTACCGCTTCCAGAAGTGTTAGTACCTCTACAGCTTTAATGATGATGTAAGGCAGCAAGTCTTCCTACGGAGACTCGATAAACTTAGTATTATGTATTCAATACAAGAAAATTTACGAAAAAAAATTCGGATCGTAGATAAAATAATTCCCTCATTACTCCGGAAATGTGAGGATTCAGTTTCGTTCAATTATAACTAAAATATGAGTACCTGCTATAATAGTTTTTTAACTCCATTGCAGAAAACGGATTTTGTATGCTAAACAATGCAATAAGTTGAGGCAATGTTTCGAGTTAATTATGCTAATAATTTTAAAAATCTACTCGTTTCTATAGTTCAAGATCATGGTTGAATAGAGCAAAGTTAAGCATAATCAACTACATTTTTGTTAATTATCATCAGGCAAATAATCAACCTTCGCTTACACATTTTTATTTTTGCAGTTTCGGGCTCAAACGGTCGTTCGTATTCCTATAGTTATTATGAATATATTCAGTTTATTAATTAGTATGAATTTATTATATATATTATGAATTTTGATTAAGTCCTGAAGGATTACAAGATTCATATTTTAGTTATCTAGCATGGTTGCAGAGTGTTAGAATTAGGAGATACACAATTCTCCAACATGATCAGATATAATTTATGTACCTCATGAATTTCTGCTCGGCTTAGAAACGCTCAATATCTTTTGTCCGTACAGTAATAATTCACATTTAATGATCAACTTGGGTACATTGAATGTATCGCAATGATAATGATAAAATCCTTGGTTTATCATCAAATTGAACTTCATCCTTCGTGCTGCATGATGACTTTTCAGTGTATTCGACTCAATATGGCCAATTTTTTACTTCATTTCTGATTGACGAAGCTTTTTGAAAGTTTCACTGTCGTGCCCGTTCAACGTCATAAGCTTTAATGTTTATTTTTATGCTCCTCGACCCTTCGAGATTTTCCGGCACTATACCTTCCCCCGGTTGCAAGTCAACCGATGGCGTAAGTGTTTTCGATTTTGACTTCATTCAAAAACTACCGTAACCGCAGAATCGCTATAGTTGATTTGTATATAACAAATTCATAGCATTAGAGCATTATTAGATAGCTACGTCTATAGGAATAGCCGTATAACTCAAAGTTAACCTAAATCGAGACATTTCTCACGACTTAAATGAGCAGAATATTTATTTTAGTTCATATGCGAAGCGAGGTGTGATTGAAATTTGTAGAGAAGGCTAAAGTAATTTCTTGATTACTGGTGATTCGAGCTCCGTTTTCCTTTGAATGAAGTCGAAACCACTCGGTTGCCACGGTCTGAAGATGAGCGAAATGTTGGACAATCGTGCATGGTTGTTATAGGCGGAGTCGTCCGGAATAAATTCAATTGACTCTCAAGAAGAAAAGTTCCAAGAATAGATTGACGTTCACAATAGTTCAACCATGAATGGAGCCATCTTATAAGCTCGTATAGATTTATGTGTTGAATAGAGTGGCCTGTAATTGAGAGTACACTTTAGACACAATCGCGATGAGCCGAAGCAAGCATACGATACCGACGCTAAAGTTTTAGCCTCCAACATTAAGTCTCAAGCTCAGATCATTTTCACAACTTGAGTCGCTTATAAATATTAGGAAATATTTTGTAACAAAATTAATACCGAATGAAGTCTTCCCGAAATTTCAAGTCATGAACAATAATAATAATAATGATATCTCAATGCCTACAATTTAGACTAAATAAATGACATGAAAATGGAATAACAAATACAAATTTGATGAACCGTTTAAGCGGTACGGTATTATTACCTTGCACTATCGTTTCTCTGCATTCTCCGCCGTTTTGTCCACTCCCTGCAACGCCTGTTGATGTGAGGTTATTGAGGTCTCGATATTGGACGTTGTCACGCCACCTCGGGGGTAAGATAATGTCTTTAGCAAATGTTACTTATAAGCTATAACTAACCGTATATCTTAGTTGTAATTTCCTTCAATTTGAGCAATCAAATGATAAGGAACTATTCCGTTTTATATGAGCGATTGTTTAAATTATGGTAAGATAAATCAAAATTTACACTCAAAATGTTAATACATTAATCAAATTAATTCGAAAATCGCATGAACATAGAATTCGAGCTGAGAGATGAAATTAATGATTTAGTGAGTAGCAAAATAATTTTATCCCGATTTATTTACTATCTCGAATGATTTATACTTTGAATATACATATAATAATTCACTTATAACGTGGATCTACATGGGTTAATATGGAAAATCCAGATTTTTTTCTGACAAACGCGTGATATGGTTAACGATATGGTCGGAGAGATGATTGTGATTGTATGTGCCCTTCTTAGTTATCATTAAATAACTTCTATGACCGCGGCCAAGCACTTGATGTAAGTGCACCTGTGTGTTCGTCAAGGAGTCGCGTGGTCTCGGCATCTGCCATCCACTCCAATCATCTCCTCCAGTCGCCACACGCCGCCTCACTGCGACTGCGGCTCACGAGTTCAGTCAGGTGCAACGCGTGGTGGTGTGTGGTTGTGTAGCTTGCTTGCGCTTCTTCTCTCTGACCTGCACGTGCCCTTGCATCTTATAAAAGTTTTCAACTAAATCGTGATGCATTTTACTTCGTAGAAATTCCATATATACTTCAATTTTCTTCTAAAATGTTATTTTGATTGTCTTAGTACTGAAAAATATCAATTAATGATCGTGTACTTAGCTGACCACTGGGGTATATTTTTTTGGTGCCTTGGCCAGGCTCGCTATGCCTGGCTGCGGAGGGCGGGATGTTTGTTGTCCAGCTGCGGTCAGCCGCAGCATTTACAACAACATCTTACCTGGAATTAGTTTATGGTTGTAGGTTACAGATACTTGATTAACATATCCTTATACTTCTCTGTGTGTTCTAACTTTAACTTCTTTCAATACAGGTTCATTCATGTTTTACGCGAGATCGAGAATCAATCTGTGCGTGATTATCAGTGAATTGATGAAACGTTGCGCTGGAAGAATAGTACTGCATAAAATAATATAATTTTGTTTTAGGAAGTTCCGTTCTAAATATATCACATAAGATGAGTGAATGAGTTTATTCATGAAATTTCAGGCTGGAAAGTGAAATGAATCAATGAATTACATGTGCGTACGTGGTCAAATGATCATGGAGCCTGAAGAGAGACATTCCTGCGGCTGCGATCATGGAAAACTGTTTGATGCAGATTGTGATCGAGGAATAAATAAACAAATAATTATACCGCCATTTTGTGGAAATCTAAAATCAATATTTTCCAGAAATTGTGCGTGTGGCGTTTCTAGAAATCATGGTGGTATGCATTGCGATGCCGATTGCTCCTGTGCGATACCAGAATTTAGAAGCTCTCCCGAGAGAGATGATAATTGTGTGGAATTAGAAAAAACTTCCCGTGTAATGAGAAACTTGTACCTGAACGATGATGTCAGATGGAAAAGGAACTCGCAGCATGAAACGTGTTCTAACAAGAGATCCGTTAATGTCGGTAATACTATTGGTGATAAGTTAGAGGAACGATTGCGTTCTCCTCAAGTCACATGCAGTGAACATTCGGTGCATTATAGTCATTTAAGTAACCCATCAACCAATACCAATGTAAATCCGATGTTCGGAGGACGTTCAAATTCTATTTCTTCCTCAATGCCGTCACTAGCGACGAAAAGTTCCTGTTTTATTAAAGAAAAACCCACGGAAAATTTATCTCAATTAAATTTACTGACAAGTTCCGGCAGTTGCTGGAACGCGAGTATACGAGCAAGACTATTTTCAATTCTTGGCCTCTTCTCTGGGCATCCATATAAGAAAAAAGATCGCCAGTCGCACAATTCGTCGAATTTTTCACCCCAGAAGCTGCAGGTCCGGAAATGGCAATTAATTTTCGCTATGTTTACTCTGCTGAACTGTTTCTCAGGCGCTGCATCGCAATGCGACGTCTACGCCAGGTAAGACAGATCAAGATTTAATTTGAAAATTTGACAAAATTCTCATGCACATTACTATGTATGTATATAAAAAAATTCATAATAAGTATTCTTCTAGATATTAAACAACAGTCATCAGTATACTTTGGAATAAATATGCTCCCAAAAATCAGAGCTTTATTTGCGAAGAGTCAACTTGGAGTGTGACTACAGTTGACTGTTTACGACAAGCAAAATGACTTTCAGAAATATAATTTTGTCGGCTGATCTCAAATGCCTTAGCATCTTTATTGTGCGTATGACTTTTTCAGTTTTACTTTGACATTTTTTCAGTTTCTTCAGATTCCACTTGGATCACCTGTCGCTAAAATTAAGGTTAGGGATTATCCGTGAAATTGTTTACTAATTTTACCTGCGTCACTCGTGACAGCTTCCATCCATCCAGGCTTGAGCTTGCCTCCTAACTACACTTTTTTCTATCTGCTGCATTTTTAGGCCTTGTTGTCTCTACCTCAAACTCTGAGTGGAAAGAGAAATTAAGGATACACGTAATTATGTTTTAATGGACCTAATAGTTAACTAATTCTGTTTATGATTTATAGTACATGACAAAAGCGTTAGATTTTTAATATATTCTGTTCTCCCGTAATTATGAAAATTTTTCATTCATCTTTAACCGCATTGAACTGTTTCGGCAGTAACTTCCAGAACTTTAGCGCTACGAAACATGTTGTCTAATGTAAGATTTTTTTAAATTATCAACAATGACTTGTTTCTGCTCGGAACTCCTGTGAGTCTGTGACTACAAATGCTGCTCATAACCAAGAACGCGTAGACATTCAAGTTCTTCTAAACTCTAAAGTTATCTTCCGTCATTAGGAGAGAACATATGGAACATAGGGAGAGATATCTTCTAAAGTTATATTTCAAGCAAGATCCATTGGTGCTTGTCAGTGTTTAATCTTATTCAATTGATAACCTCGCTTGCTCACCGCTCACCTTGAAGCTCTGAGTGCTGTAGGTAACCTGTTTCTATTGATCACCAACTTACTCCCCTTGCTGTTGTGCGTGCAAGCAGTGGCTTATCCTATCAATTCATAAGCTTATTTACTCATCTTGCAGCGAGGGCTGTTGGTAATGTATCGCTATATATTCCACTAGCTGCTCAGTACGTATCACCAACCCACTCGCTGTTCCACTCACCACCTCACTCACTGTTTCACTCACTGTCTCACTCACAGTGTTCCATTCAGAACCACTCTCACTGTTCCACTCACCATCACACTCACCGTCCCACTGACCGTCCCTCTCACTGTCCCACTGACCGTCCCACTCACCAACACACTCACTGTTCCACTGACCGTCCCACTCACCAACACACTCACTGTCCCACTCACCGTCTCACTGACCGTCCCTCATGTCCCCATACCGTGCAGCGGCCTGGACCGAGTGGGCCGTGAAGTAGGTGCGGAGTACGTTCGCTGCACGGCTGGACGTCTCGTGTGGAAGTATCCAAGGAACGGGCTACGGCTGCTGCTGCAGTCTCCTGAACCTGGTCAGTTGACACAGCTTATAATGCGAAGTTACGTGACGATTTTTTTATAGTCTCGACGAATAATATTGAGGAAAGTAAGAAATCTGCACGGTGAACTGTGCATGCTTTTTGATGCGGTAAAATGATTGTTCTTGTTAGCTGCGTTGTTAACGTAGATGAAATCAATCTTGAATAATTTTGTATCAATTAGTATTGATTTATTTATTTAGTCTTTAATTACTTTATATCAAATGTCTTGTTCGGATTGATCTAAACAGCGATTTGTCGCTCAGTGTCTCTGTGCTTAGTTGCGAATATTGGCCACCTTCAAAGTCGAGCTTCGATGTCTAACGAAGCTCAGCAGCTTCCAAATTTGCGTTCCTTTCAACTAAGCTCCTCTCATTTTCTGGCAACAAACTAGAATGGTTTCAATTATCAAGGATTTTTTCATTAATATTTACCAAGTAAAATATTTCTGGAACGTAGCTATGGCACTTTATCACACAAATATAGCTTTTCCCCCAATCATCTGATGAGCCATTCTTACCTCCATTGCTGCAATCGCTAGTGAAGAACATGTTTATATTTTTACTTTTACTTTGCATATGTAATGTTTTCAACTATAATACTAAACGGTTGCTTCCTTTTTCGTATTCGCTCTGTGCATTAAACAGGGGATCATCAGGTAAATTTCGAAATTTTAAGTTTACACAAAATATCGAAAGAACTAACGGAAGTGGAACTGGGCAAAATTCGGATTAAAGACACGGCTTTCAATCCATAATTGCCATTGTATCTCGTGTTGTGACAAATGAGGGCCAGTTTCTCAATTTCAGCTAAATTTAATAATTTCTATCAAAAATTAATAGATTTCAACACGCTCGATTATTACCAATCTCGTGATACGGCTGATTGAATTTAGTATATGGCACGGAAAAAATTCATGAAATAGTAACTAAAGAATAAATCTTGAAACTGGTTAAATTTCAAATAATCTACTATAAACGATACTATAGAATGATCTCCATGAAAAGTGCTGTAAGTTGTTCTTTATCTCGCTGAGCCAGGCCGGGAGTTTCGAGGCTGTATCAAAGCTGACGCAAACTTCGACGGCGCGCGAGTGATGGTGGAGGGACAGCGCTCCCTGGTGCCTCTGCTCGACCCCCGCGACCATCTCTCGCTACAGGTGCGGTCTTCTTTTGTTATTAGTGTGGCTATTCATTGTTTTTAATAAATATTTTCATTATATTCATTATCCCTGCCTTGGTGGCATAGCTTCCTTGGAACAACATTAAATTCTGAACAGCCGGACATGAGTCTTCCCAGGAGTGACACTAAATATAATTGACTGGCGAGTTTTTTCGTGTCAATTATTTATTTTTTAAAGTCATACGTCTTTGAAAAGGTATCTGCAAAATTCCAGATTATATCTCATTCTTCTGGAAGGGAAAAATGCTGTAAACGAATTATCAATCATTTCAATCTATAAGAAAGCTTGTGTAGCTTGATTTTGAATTACTCATGTAATTCATACGCACCGACAGCTGCTAAGACAAAGAACGAAACTGGAACACGTCATTATGTTGGGCTGCAGCGTTACACCACAATATTATGCAGTAAATAGATTACGAACATGTCCATAAGAGCTAGGAGTCTACCCAAAGTATACTTCAGAATATTCGATTTATTATCAACTTGAATATATGTGAATTTTTCATTCCTTAATTTCTTTTCATTTGCCTCTCGGATTTGTTTTGTGAAATAGCTTTTTTCGTCTTTATTTTTGCCACGCTCACCACAATGCTCATCGACCGTTCATCCCATCAATAATAACATAGTAATCTCAGCGCTGAAGTGTAGGCCTGATGTGGCCTGTCGCCGACGCAAACTTCGCTAATGCTGAAGTTGTTGTCATTGCAGCAGCAGCGCTGCTTCTCGAGCTACGACGGACAAGTAGCGCTGTACTTGGAGGCAGCGCCACTGCCTACCGACCAGTTCCTGAACGCTCACACCGCAGCCTTCCAATACGACCTGGAGCTGCTGCCTAGAGGAACCTACTACCAACCCGATCAAGGTGAGAACTTATTACCTACCCTATCAAGGTGAGAATTTATTACCTTCCCGACCAAGGTGAGAACTTATAACCTACACGACCAAGGTGAGAACCTACTATCAACCCGACCAAGGTGAGAACCTACTACCAACCCGACCAAGGTGAGAACTTATTACCTACCCTATCAAGGTGAGAACTTACTACCTACCAGACCAAGGTGAAAACTTATTACCTACCCGACCAAGGTGAGAACTTATTACCTACCCGACCAAGGTGAAAACTTATTACCTACCCGACCAAGGTGAGAACTTATTACCTACCCGATCAAGGTGAGAACTTATTACCTACTCGATCAAGGTGAGAACCTACTACCAGCCCGACCAAGGTGAGAACTTATTACCTACCCGACCAAGGTGAGAACTTATTACCTACCCTACCAAGGTGAGAACTTATTGCCTACCCGACCAAGGTGAGAACTTGTTACTGTACCTACCCGACCAAGGTGGGACTTATTCCCGTGCCAAGTCGTAATTTTTTCTATGGTATGTGTTCTTGATTTTTACCTCCTCTTTCGGGCGAGATCGATCCTACTAACTGCATTGAAACGTGGAACAAAATATTTATGTGATAGTTCTTTATCATTGAATTAAATAAATTGTGCTACAAATTTCTTGTGATTCCGCGAAAGTCCTTTCTTATTCATGAGAAGTATCAATCAGAATTTTCGTCTTAGTGAGGGTGTCGTTTCATTTGGTTTCAGAAAGTGGTACTCGTGACACTTCAAAAGTTCAATATTGGTGTCTCAAAATAATCTGATATCTATCATATGACTTCATTCATATGTTAAGCGTAGTTATCAATGTCTCAAATTCAAATTTTTTATTTATTTGAGAATTCCACATGCTCCATATAAGATGGGGTGATTTAACACAAGATTGTACCAATCTGCAAACGCTTCTTAGCTAGCTCCAGCTTCAGCATCATTAATGTGCTACGATTTTCTCTTGGATTTTCGGTAATGATTTACATTTGCGTAATCCCGGCCCTAGGCCTATGGCACGAGTGTCTGTGTGTGTAATGATAGTGCTATCAAATTCTGAAGTAAACAATTGTACAGCTCCGCCGAATAAATATCATGTAGGACTTTCAAAACTAAAAGGTCAAGATAACGAGTTTCCAACTTATGGCGTGGTGCACCGATCCTTTGGAATTACAATGAAACTGATGCATCTTGGATGGAAACAATTTCGTTCTTTTAAATTTTGATCATTTTGGATTAAGAAAGTTTTGTCGTAAGGCATTGGTTCTATTTTGGATGGAAAACGGTTTAGTCGTAAGATACTAGATATATTTTGTATTATGACAACACCATCGTAAGACACAACGTCTATTCTTGATGATGACAGTTTTTTAGTATGATAGTAGATCTATTTTACATGTTTTGCGAAACATTTTGGACGGGTCGAGTTCACTTATCTCAAATCACTGACGTACATACGTGCCCCTCGTCGATTGAAAACTTGCAATTTTTTGCAAGAGACAGTCATAATATTATTTCTATAATTACAAATTTCAATTAAGCTTAGGGAATGAGTTTTGCGATGTTTGCCTTCTGGTCTTTACTATGATGAAATTCCAATGGCCGAGCATAGACGCTGCATTACTCCTACGTTCAATTGAGCCATTCCCATTACAATGTCGACGCATATCAATTAATAAATACAAACTCCTATACGTTTCACCTGCTGGGTCATTTGGCATCTAACGCATTATCTGTACACTGTTTTAATGTTATTACCAGTCGCTCCTGCTATCAGTGCACTCTTAAAAACGTTCCAGTCAGCAGGCATCGAACGAAATAATTTTACTTAAGACAATGCTCCGGGAACTAACGATTATTTTGCAGTGTAATTAAAATTATCAACAATGTTTGTTGGTTTTTTGCAGAAATCTGCATCGATCTCGAAGGCAATGATTGGAAATGTACAGCATCTGAACCATTTTCAATGAGAAAATCTAGGCCCAATAAAAGCTTTAATTGCAACGGCCCAGCGAACGTAGTTACTGCTTTGTAGGCGCAGTGAAAACTTTGGATAATATGAAGTTATGACCCACATTTTCAGTATAAAACACCGACTTCAACGGGATTCTCAAATCATTATTCTGTGTTGAATTCATATTTTCTAAATTCTTCTAGAGCTAACAATGCATCTGCATTTTTATGATCCTTTACTTGCATAAAAGAATGCGTGCAGAACAAGGTTCAGGGCAATGCCCTGCAATATTGCAGAGCCTTGTGCTCAAAATGCTGGAATTTCTGTTCATTAGAGACCCAATGGGAAATTTGAATTAATTTCCCATTATCTTACAAAAGTTGGGATAATTTGTATTAGCGAGAGACAACATCCGAGCCTAGCAGTGCATTAGAAACTAGTCAGTCTTAGGTCTTAAATTCAGCCCGAGCTTTGTACGTAAACATTTACGGGGCACTCCCTCGAGACTGCAAAGCATTCTGGACAGCAGGGGCTGCAACACACATAATTGCAGCCCATAGTTAATAACTAGAGGTGGAAATCTGGACAGTTAAGAAAATTAACTGCATCGAGCAGAGGGATAAATAAGGCGGACCGGTGCCGCAGGCTGGCTTGCTGGCAGTCATACGATGTGCCAAAGAAGGTAAACTCAGTTTATTCAGAAAATGCCTGGTTTGCTGAGAGATCATTAAGGATCTGCTCCAGTGAGCATGGAAGCTCGCATCGCGAAATTCAATTTAGACAAACAAAAGAGGGATTAAAAATTTAACCGGAGCGCAGTGATGGTCTTCATTCTCCGCTCTAGGCGTCATAATGGCCGCAAATCTTCACACAACTGACAAGCTTCATCTAATAATCAAGAGCACAATACAAAATAGGATTTAAGTTGGCTTAAAGATAACACACACAACAGCGGCGGCATTAGGTGCTTCTGAAATGTTTTCTTAAGCTGCTTCCATAACATGAAGCTGATGGGCATTATCGTATTCCGTGAGTTTGAGCTGCGGAAATATAACGGGTATAGGCATTTTTACAGCACCTGTATACCAGATATGATTGCATCGTATCTTGTCGAAAAATTGTTATTCCAAATATCCATTAACAGTTGCCACGTGTTGAATTTAATATAACATCTCGTTATATTAAATTCAATTATTGAAATTATCGTTTGTTATTAGATTAATTTATAGTATAAACTCGTTGCGTGTTTGCGTGGTAGAGGTTGGACAAATCTCTGCCCGTATCATGCGCAAAAAACGATTGTGAAATCACAATAAAGTGATAGGATTTAAATTGGCCCATCTGTGATTGTAGGTTGCAGGTGGCTAAATGCCCATCTGTTATAGTTGAGGACGTGGCTAAATAAGCGTTTCCCGACGCCGCTTTTGTACTTAACCGGCTCATGCTCAGCCTGCTTTTGTGGCACAGGATAAAGTAATCGACCGAGATTACTGCCCTATAATGGCACCAAGTTTAAAATATTGTATAGTACAAATAACTTTACTGCGATTGGCCGTCACTTCGGCTGCGCTTGGATCTGGAACAAGTGTATCCTCAAAAGGGTTCATCAAACTAATTTTGATGAACCAAAGGTTCATCAAAATTTTTCGCTTTGTTGTCCAGTTCAAAAAGCCACAATGGCTGACTTTCTCCCTCTAAACATTGTGCCAATTTTGATATGTTCGGTTAGTTCTAAAATTTCATGATTGACGACTAGAGATATTCATCCGGAAAATTTATGAATTGTTTACAGAGGTATCCACCCCATTCTGTGTCCTCACTGCAGGTGTATGCGTTCTAAATGTCGTGATAATCATTGTCAAATAACCTGTTAACAATTGCATTTTAACGGGTTATTTGGCAATGACCTAACTTTTATTGTAGAGTCAACTTTGTGTAGATGTGAGCATCAATTCAGATAAAATTTTTATTTTTACGATTTGCTTTTTTTTACGATATATTTCTACGTCTTATTTTAATATTAACAGGATTCTTTTGTCTAAGCTTGGGTCATCATCTTTCAAATTACTGTCCATGTTTCTCATAGCTTCTGGGTACGAAAGAAAACTTGTTTCTGCAAATTAATTAAGATGCTGGAAAACTTTCCTACTGACAATCAACTCATATTTTATTACGTAAAACAATTTGCATTTCTTCTCTCTATTAGAAAATGCTTTCGAATTAGAAGACCTAACGTTCGGTCGCGCTTATGCCCCGGGCAATTTTGCGTGACATGGGATAATTGAGAAAAGTGAATATTTCTCGGGGCATTTGACCAGCCCATCTCTTGCTGCAGGAGCGCGGGAGGTCCGCGTACAGGTCTCTGTCGTGCGTTCTTGTTGCCTGTGTTTGCTTCTCCTCGCGGCGGGAAGGATACGGCAGACGCGCGCACGACTCGAGTGTATGCTCTCACACTCCAATAATGACTGTAATGGTGGGCCGACCGTATAGGCCTAAAACTATCGTCGAGCTGCCTTATACTCGAGCTCTTCTTGCGTTTCATCGTCAGCTGCGATCAAGACCCAATTGGATGACGTTATAGGTTTGAATCGAGCAACTCAGACGTGACCAGTTCTTTATTGGCGTAACGCGTAATTAAAAGGCATGGGTTTTTATCTCGAGGAAAATTATTGTATATTTATTGATTGTGCTCTATCATTTTTGTCCATGATGCTTGTTAATTACTTGCATCAGGATGAAGATAGCAGTTCTAATGCTCCAATTTATGGTCAGAATTAAGTTAACCATCGTGTAGATTCAACAGTAGTAAATCATGTTGTATATATGCTCATTGCTCAATATCGATGATTATCACTGCACATGCTCTTAGGGGTAAAAATACTCACAGTTCATATAGGCAGGGGCGACATGTTGACGCTACACGCCGCTGTCACGAGTTGTTTATGCGTCATCAGCATCACAAGATCCTCGCTTGCACTTATTGCTGACATGGCATTTTTATAGAAATTTTTAATCTTTTGACGGCAT